ACTCCACCCATAAGCAGTATTTAAGAGTAACAACATGATCACTTTACAGATTGATTCCTTATAAATACTGTGAGCTCAGGAGTTCATTCTTTGTTCGGGAATCCCTCAACCTGCACTTTGGGTTTTCATTTGGGCTGAGGAATGCAGATATACGTTATACAGTCGGAGAGAAAGACACGCGGCATAATGGAGAATTATAAGATTGTTTTTTCATTAGGGAGCATCAAGCAGAATCCTTTCAAATCCTTCCCACCGTCTGTCTTTTTTTTTTTCAGCTGTATATCTGTTTTTCCGGTTATATAAATGACGCTGAAGGTCAATTTCTTTGCCAAAATGTAATATAGCCTGAAGTCCACCTTGCTTTCTCATTTATCTGCTCCTCATATAAAAGTGTATTTATGGGTGCAGGAGTACTATGATGTGTTCCCTCACATGATGTCAGCTGACAGTTTTAGACGTCTAGTGTTTCTCCATAAATCCTCTCCAGGAACATTTTCAGTCAAATACAGTCTTATAAAGGCACTTGTCTTTGTTTATAATGGTGATTAGTGATCGCTAACCGCAGGTTGTGTTTCCTGTTTCCTGAGTTAATCTCAGAGAAAACAAAAAAGGCTGTGTTTGCCTTTGCAATCCTGTAACCCATGCTAACAGCTAGCATTATTATGTTAGGTAAAGCATAAAACTTTAAAGGAAGGTCATTGTTTACAGTCCCCACTTCACAGCAGAAAGCCATACAGTTGGCATTATTTCTCATTTATAGGACTGTATCTGGGTCTGTAACGCCAAGGAGCTTTACAAGTGCGATGAAAGGATAAAAGAGGCAGGAGGATAAGTTGTACTTTCCAGGAGAGTCTTGAAAACATGGGGTCACTGATCTATACTCACTCACTTAAATTGCTTCCCAAGTCAAGACTCATGAACACTAAAAGGAACATTTGTTTTTAGTAATAATGTGTGTACAAAACAGACCAAATGAATGCTTTGGCTAGCTTGTGTTGGGAACTGGAAAATAAAGAAACCTTGATGGATAGTAGTGTCACTGCTTTAAGTAAGAAAAAAGAGTTGTAGTCACACCGTGGTCCTGGTTCTGTCCCTTGTGACTGAAGTGTGACTGATGGTAAACTTGACGTTGACCTAAAACATGAACGCTATCATTTTAATCTCAACCACGTGAAAGAAGTGTGACAACAGGTTGTGAGTGTGTTAACCCTTTAACCCTAAATGGCTAATGGCTTCATATTCAGCATCAGATCTAGTTGTCTTAGAGTTATGAAGCCTCTGGTTGTACATAAATACCGGTATACACACATATTAATTATATTAATGTGATGAAGCATTGTGTGTTTCATTTGATTTTTCTTCTGTGGGCTTAGTAAACACCACAGATACATTTCTAATGTATTCATTATTTATAGATATCCTTTACGGCGTACTGTACATTAAACATTTCCAGCATTAAAAAACATGACATGTCACAATATGATCGTGTACTCAGGGTGTTATCAGCAGAAATACTGGTAAATCAGCCTTTCTACACTCTGCGGCTCCAACCTCACATTCTTTCCCGCACTACGTTACAGTACAGTAAAGTACAGTGTAAAGGGCTAAAGAAAGACAAACCTGCACACATACAGGTATGGAGTGACTTTATGGGTCCCACATGAGATTGCCTCACCCCATAGGTGTCGCCAGAGCAACAACGTGTCTCCATAGTAACAGCCACAGCCTGAGTTGTGATGTTTAGTGTGATGGTGCTAAAAACTCAGCTTGCTGTGGATTGTGGGGGAGGAAACTATCAGCACCTATAACATTTGGTGATGGGGGTCAAATATGTGTGTGTGTGTGTGTGTGTGTGTGTGTGTGCGTTACAGAGGGGGAGAGGCTGGAATGGATATTTGCATGGCCATATGTAAAGAAGGAGAGAGAGAGAGAGAGAGAGCAGTTTATGAATGGTGTTTGAGGGTTCTCAACTCTCTCTCTCTCTCTCTGTCTCTCTCTGTCTCCCACTTCTTCTGACTTACGAGGTGGCAATAAGTGGTTTCGTGTGTGTGTGTGTGAGTGTGTGTGTGTGTGTGAGAGTCAGCCTCAGGGAGTCAGTTCAGTATGTTTGTGATGATCCACGATGGATGGAGGAGAGAAGAAGAGTGAACATAGCTACAGATTGAAGGAGAACAACTTGTGTGGGATAATATTCTAAATGAAAGAAACAATGATAATTGGATTTACTAAACGGGGTCAGCCTATCTTGTGAACTTGAGATGACATCTTTTTGCCTATGGTTCCACTTCTGATCTGTGTTTAAAGGAGTTAGATGATTGCTTTCCTTAAGTCCTTCTGCTGTTCAAGGTTTGGGGTTATCAGATATCACCAGGGCAACTTAACACATCAAATCGCTATGCTCCTAAATACGGTGTTTTCTTCTGCTTTTGTGCTTTTTTCCTCTGAAAAAGCGTGTTTGCTTTTGGAAAGTCGACTTGCCCAAAGCGGAGTTTCTGCCCGCTCACTCCACGAATGTGCAGATCAGAGTTCACCATTTAACTCGACACTAACGCGAAAAAGAAAGTGATATTTAGTGTCTGCGTGTGGTTTTCTTTGGATTAGGAAGAGCCAACGTTTGCTCCCTGTCAGCCTTCAGCCTTCGTGTATGTTGATAGCGATAATAACATTCCCCTGCATCTCACGGTTCATCAAAGGTTGCTTACATGAGATTCTTGCTTTTTACCACGACCTGGAGCATTTCAGAACCCACTTATAATAAACTCTCATTTACATGATGATTAACTGTGAGCTGCGGAAGAAAACACTTATTTTCTCTCCCACTGAAACGCTCCCACATGAGTAACATGGGTCAACATTTTAAATTTAGCTGCGGTGATGATTAGCATTTGAGAGGTCATGGGAGTTTGTAATTGGTGAACTGTTTGATATAAGCAGCACACACACACACACACACTGCAGTGCAGCACATTCTGTCATCTCCATGTAAAACAGGAGCACACACACAGAGCCTCAGTTTGTTAGTGCCTACATGTCAGAATTCAGACACAGTTTGAAAGCTGTTTTAATTTGCAAGTTGCCTGGATGCTTTGTTAAAATGCCTTTATGTGCTTGCAGGTGTCATGTTGTGATCTAAAAAGATCTAAAAAGGCCCACCCGTATTTTTGCGTGAAACATTTACACGTGAGTCTAGAGTAACGCCCAGCTGTCTGTGAAATGGCACTGTTAATACATTTTGGTATTTGGCTGGGCAGTGTCAGTAAGTCCTTAAACCCTCCTCTGATTGGTCAGCAGACTGCAATAATGATCGATTGTCTTTTGTGGTAAAGCTCACCCACAAAATACGTGTATATATTAGAACAGTTAATCACATATACTATGGTTTTATTAGTGAGCACAGTACAGCGCTGGTTTGTCTTCTGCTCATCTTGATTAGAAGCACATAAATCTGCCTCCAGTCCCAGTAACTTTAGTTAATAGCTCTTCCATTGGGATGGAGCATCTGCATGATTAATGATTAATAATGATTATTTTCATTAATGATTAATATGCAGATTATTTTTATTATTATTATTATTTAGTTTTATTAGTTTTGCCTATAAAGTGTCACAAAATAGTGGAAAATGCTGTCCCACAAGGTGAATCGCTCACATTACTTGTTTTGTCTGACCAAAACTCAAAGATATTCAGTTTATTGGGACTAAAAGCATCAAATCCTCACATTCGAGAAGCTGGAACCAGCAAATGTTTGGTCATTTTCCTTAACAACTTACTAAAAAGATTCTTGTTGTTCATCATCGATGGTCTAATTTCTGTACAACATGAAAATCTCTCAGCAGGCTCTTCATTGAGTCATCCATAGACTTCAAGTCTGCATTAATCTTTGTGAACAGTAGTTTTGCAAGTTAAACAGAGATTAATTTGTGGTAATTATAATGATGAAACTTTGACAAACATCAACACACTTAATGATGAAATCACTCAAACTCCTTTGTGGATGTTTGCTAAAGTGGTTTGTTTAATAGCGTACTAACAGTGAACTCACAGACACAGAGAGTGGGTCTTAGTGGGCAATCTGCACCCAGAACAATTGCACAGTAGCACACTGTGGGCCAAGAGGTAGTGATCAAATAGTATGTGATGCAGTTATAATCAATGGGCGAAGCAGTTTTGCGGACCGGCTGACAGTTTACAATGATGAAGAGAGTGATGTAATCAAGGAGTTAAATGAGGAAACGGTGGGATGCTGTTCCCAGACACTGTCATTATCACTATGTAAAGAATTGCCACAGTGGGTCTCCAAACCTTGGATCAATAACAACAGGATATAGTGTGCTTATTATCAAGTCTACATTGTGGAGATTTCCCGACCTGATCCTATGG